GGTCTATTGAAATGGCTACGATAAGACTACTTACACGCTACGTATGATGTAGGTCAGTTAAACGTTATTCCGATTGCCTTAATCGTGCTTTAAGAATATATTTCGAAAAATTTTTAATTCTGAGAGTTATCGAAGCTTTCACGAGGCAGTTATCGCTGAATTTAACTTCGCGGCTAAAATTTTAAACGCGTTTTTCTCCAAACGTCACTTTCCAAACTGTTGGCACAAATATCTGAAAAACTAATTGACCCATTTAAATGAATCTTTTTTTAGATTGTAGCATATAGATTTCCGCGAGCGGTAAATCCTGAATATCTTCAGATTTTAAGAATTTACTTATTTTTAAGGAGCGCAAGATCGCGAAGAAATTAATGGGAAAGTGATATTTAATTTGAAAGTCTCAAAGAAGCTTAAAATTTTAATCAGTTTAAAAATATATATTTGATTCTTTTTATTCGGGATTTAAAAACGAAGAATTAGATGTTCAGCTACCAAAATGTGGTAATTATATTTTTAACCCTTTGCATTCGGTGGTTTTTCGTTACAGAAAAATTGTAATTCGAATAGTAATTAGTAAAATAATAATTCCTGCTAAATAATAATTCCTAAAACTAGTAATTAGCACGTTAAACGCCATGCCGATTTTACGTGCCGTTCTGTTGACGCCATAGTTAGCCGTCATGCGGGACCTGCCGGGCCGTACGGACCAGCGGGGCCTGAACGGAAAGTGTAGCGTCGGTCCCTAGGAATTGGTGTGGAGTTAACGTGTTAATCCGTGAAATACCGTTTTGGTGGTATTATTACTCATTAGAAAATAGCATATTGCCGACCCTATAGTCACCAACTACGCGACGCCATCTATACACGACGGTGACTCTAGCCACGAAGTACGCGACGCCATCTACACACGACGGTGACTCTAACCACGAACTGCGCGACGCCATCTACACACGACGGGTGACTCTAGCCACAAACTACGCGACGCCATCTACACAGCACGGTTGAGTTTAGTCACGAACTACGCGACGCCATCTACACACGACGGGTGACTATAGCCACTAACTAC